AAAAAAAATCGACCAAAAAATAATAAACTGCTTTACAATTCAGTTAAGACATATTTGTCTCATTTTGTCAGTTGTAAAATACTGTAATCTTAATACATATTCATGAATATACTGACAGCAGTATCAATATTTTAAACCACTTAAAAATAAAAATAGGGACTAAAGTTTATGTAAATTTAAAGTACACTTTTAATCTACTTTGTCATTCGTGCGTTTTTATTGATGGTTTCAAAATTAACAGTTCAATAGTTCATTACTAGTGATGTCTTAATCATTTAATCAAAATAAAACATTACGATGTCATTAACAAATGTAGCATTTTTTGATTTACATCTATTTACAGGCATTTTACTTAAAGCGTATTGTTTTTCACAATTTCAAAATGAAATTATATACAGTAATCGAAATCAGCTAATATTGGAATAAATCGTTCGGGATTAATTACAGGAGAATCGGAATAAGAAAAAATGCATCATAAACGTGCGCTTGTGTATGTTGTTATGTTATGTTATGAAGTTTAATACATTCATAACAGTACACAACAAAAGACACTGATTTTAAAATATCAGTTTAAAAACTTTTTAGCTGTTATGAAGAATTACGTAAGGATCCACCAGCTTTCATCAGCTACCTAGAGTGATTTATTTTCCGTTTAATAATACCAAAAATTAAGTTATCACAAATGAAACATAAGTTATGAACTATGTCCGCCTGTAAAAGAATAGAAAAAAACTTTTGAGAAGAGAATTACTTCAAAAAGAGATAGGAAGTGCGGGAACAGATAATGAAGGAAAATCTCTTCCTCCCAAAATAGTACAACACAGCGGAAAAACCATGCATAAACTTTTTTATTTATAATCAGTCGTACCGCATTTTTCCCTATTGTCAGTCTTCATTGGACCTGTCTAATGGAAACATTCGTACCTTTACTAATCCGGGTTCCTAGGTTGGTAACAACTTAATTTGGGGTACCAGTTTTAGGGTATACTTAATGAAGACGCACTGTGCATGCTATAATATCAGTGAAGCAATAATACGGTTCTTTGTGGAGGGAATGACCACCTCTGCAAAGCAAGTGTTTACCCGCGGGGGGAAATCATCGTCTGAGTAATCTAATACTGGATATAGTATGTGTTTCAATGTCATATTTTAATATTTTAACATATCGAGCAAAAAAAAATGTATGGACCGGATGTCGTCCCTGTGGTCCGGGTTTTTTAGACCTTGGTATTCTTGAGCCTTTATGATTCACTGCAGTCATGGAAATCGTTATTGAATCATTTTCAATAATAAATATGAGATATACTTGTCTTAAAAACACTTTATACTCATATAAGCTACAGGCTACCTTTCCTTTTTCCAAGTTCTTCTTTGTCCTTTGACCTACTAAAACTTTTCCCTTCCTTTACGTGAAGTAACACTCAAGACTCAAATGAGGTATTACGTTTCGTAGCCTACAGTGAGGTCTTTTTCAGGTTTAGATCTGTTAACAACACTTGGCCACTGAAAGAGAGCGTGAGTTATACTGAGACCTGCCCTCATTTGTGTGTTTTCCCACAAACGCACTGTAAAAATCAATTGAGAAATAGTATTTTATGTGCTCTATATATATGTGCGCGCGCGCGCGTGTGTGTGTGTGTGGAGAGGGGGGGGGGGTTGTATTTACCACATACCTGTTACTTTTTAGCTTCTGGGGACATGTGCACATTTAAACCTAAAAAAACGAAAATAGGCAAAAGTCTTGTATTTCGTTTGGTGACTTATGGTTAGCGCTGGATAACGGTTACGGTTATCATAGTTAGGATTAGGGTTAGGGTAGGGAGAGTCCCCACGATGAAAGGATATATGAACTGCCTACGTGTGTGTGTGCGTATGAACTGTTTCTGCATTGTAGTAGTCAAGCACATGCGTTAGTGTGGCCTAAAATACTCCAAAATAACATTTCTAAAACACTTTAAAATTATTATATCGTCTTTGAATCCATTTTTTGAATTTTAATGATCATTTAAGGCAAGGTGATCAAAGAGTAATGATTGAATAACATGTGCAAATAAAGTTGTGTGTCAGACAATTTTTTTTGTAAAACTAAGAATAAAGGTTATATTAGCAAACTGCACCAGAATGTTATGGGGACTTATCCTAAAAATGCAAAATGATGCCAAATGTCGCTTCAACTCACCCCGCTTATTTTTGTTCCCGTCAGCAAAAATGCGGCTAAGTACATATAAACAACGTGCCGCAAGATTTGGCGTCAGATTAAAAATACATGATAGGGAAATAGAAGTCATAAAAAGCCTATTTAAACTGGTATGTTTTATGCCTATGCAAAATATGCCATTTCTGAGATGTGATCAAGATATTAATTATATATGACGATTAATTATACTATGAGTATTCATCATAAAATGTACTATAGTGTAAATGGACGGTCCTTGAAATTAACCACTTACAGGGGAAGATATAGTTAATTTTATACGTTAATGATTTTGTTTTTCTTTGTAGTCCTCCTTCATAAGCTGTCATTGTATTTTCCTTAACCAACATTAATGTGCGGGTTTACAGGTATACATGTTGAAATCTTCACGTAATCAGTCCTGTGTGTGTTTAACTGAGGAAGATTACACGCAATGCAACTTTGCATATTGGACGCTTTGTTCAGTTAGTGTGTGGTCGGTCCCAGACATACATTAAAAACAACTGTTACTCCAAACGGAAGAGGTGTTCGTCAGAGGTGGTTCCGCGTATTTGCTTTTTTTCACTCATATGCACTAACCCTGTGTAAAATGTAGCAAGACGCACGTAAACACATATAAATACATTAAAACTGCGGGGGACATCAACCTGAGATCATGGGTCTTTTATTTTGTGATCTTTTAGAAAGTTGTTGTGGCGTTTCTAAGAACATCCATATCGTTTCTTTCTTTGCATTATCACGTAACTTTGCGCCTCATACTTGTTCTGCAAGTGTTTGTGACTCCAAAAATGTGATGGGAAACCGTCCATTGACCCGAAGTTCCGTTTAACTTGTCAGTTTCTGAGATGTACCACAAGACATCATTTAAGGTGTATGGAGATCTAAGTGACGGTTGATTAAGAGACCAAAACAGCTGGGAGAATTTGAGAGTAATGATTCATTTTTGAAAGAAGAACTTACGTTACATAGTAGTTCTGTAAATATCAAGCAAATATTTGTTCTTCCAACATTTATAGCATCTAATTTCAAATTTACAAACTACACGAATACATATGTGCAGAAGTTGTTCTACCTTGCAGAAGTTTCAGAGGTAAGTTATTTTTTTCGAATGGTAGGCTACGTAATTCCGCTGCAAGGGAGGGAACTAGAGAGAGTCCTTTGAAAATGTAAGATACTTTCCTAAGCTTTTCTTAGTATACGTCATAAAACATTGATTGTTGCAGTTTAGTGACCCATAAAATGTGGAGGTTAGTTCTCTCTTCAGACCAAAGCATATAATTATGCAAATGGAGATCTGACAGTGATCTGGTGGAGTGCTCCCGAATACAAGGAAAAGAGAATGACGTTTTAACTTTGCCAAGTGTGCAGCTCCTTAGAAAAAGTTGATATTTAGCAGCACTGGTGAAAAAAGGAGGGCATGATGGGACTCCGAAATAATTGAAACATCATTTTAGATACAATTGTCACGAACAACATGAAGAAGCTTTTAAAGCTTTTTTAAGGTAAATGAGTACGTGTGTATAAGAAACTTCACAAGCATATCCTACGTGAAAATAATGTCACTAGACCACAGTTAATTATACACGATTAATCCTGCCTAAACAGTTGAGAAATGATTGGATTTATTAACTTACCCCAAAAAATAGCTGAACCCATAAGCATGTAGAATATCAAAACAAAAGTGATATCAAGTGAAAGACATTAATGAAAGTCATAGCTCATTGTTCGTTATATACACACACACACACACATATATATATATATATATATACACACACACACACACATATATATATATATATACTGTACAATAAGAAACTGAAAATTGTTGCAACTTGACATCATTTAGGCATTTCAGATCCCGCTAGCTTTCATATACTTTGTAAAATTTATTCCTAAGTACCCCATTTAAAGTTACAATTCTAAAAGATTTTGCAATTTATGAAGGAATTTTAGTCCAGACTGCGTGGAAACTGCAACTGCTTTCGGATGATTGTCAGTGAGCTGGTGCCCTATTACTTTAGGATTATAGATGAGTTCATACTTTTATTTATTACTGACCTGACACTGTATGAAAGATCTTAACTGGTGTTACTCCTTTACACTTGCTGTTTCGAGACTAATGGAAAGATTTCTAAAGATTTATTGAGGGGGCGTTTAATGGCCTTATTGGTTTTCACCATGTGAAAACAAATGATCTTGTGGACCTTAAAAGGACACGACTCTCAGCAAAGATTGATCACCCTTTTTAGGGTCTTAATTGATGTTTACTTTTACATAATTTTAAACAGCGTCCTGTAGGTTTTCAAAGTACCTTAACTTTAGAATTTAATTTCTGCTAAAGTCAACAGCTTAAATAATACAAAGAGAAAGGAATAAATCGACCTCATTTGTATTTGCAGCCATCTTCATAGTTATGGTTAGAAGTGTATCAGGAATAAGACTATGACAATGGTATTACAACTAAACGAATATGAATGAAACTGATCGGACTGTTTGCTATAAAACTTTACTGAGGGGGAAAAATTTAAAGTAAACTAATGCTCGACAAGCGAGGTTTTGTTGACGACAGCCGACCAACCGGCTTACACTTGGTGATACTCCGCTGTTTAAAATTATTTTTGAGACTTATTCTCAAGATAACTAAACAAAAAGCATAACTTTGCTTGACTAAAAACTAAAAGAAAATAATTGCCCCCTCATTCATTTATATTGGTACGGTGCTGAGTATTTAAATAAATGTCAATATTTCTAATGTTAAAAAAAAAACAGAACCTTGAACACAGGCATTCTGGAATACATGGAGTACACGTATAATTCAATTTAATTGGCAAGTTTTACAAATGACAAAAATGTTAGTATAACAAAACTTTTTTTTATTCAGTTACATTAATATCAACGGTTCGTATGCAGGTTTTAAGGTGGAACAGGAATACATAAATTCGAAGTAAAATAAATATGGGACAAAATAAACCACGGTTTTGGAGACTTAATATTTACCATCTCCAAGCTTGCTGACAGAATGCTGTATAACGTACCTGAACAACAATGGCAGCAACAATTATTGGAAGCAGGTTCGTATATATTTTCTTTAGTTTCATTACACATTCACGAAGCGTTTTTGTCTCACGTCTTTTGGGCAGCTGAACTTCCATCAGACACACATTATGTGTTTGATTTTGAAGAAGGACTTGAAATTCAGCGAAATTTAGGCTACGTACCAAATATACTTTAGATTTGGTTTAAGACTGGTCTCTTAACTGCGGTCTTTTCACAAGTGGCTTATTTTCTTAGAAAAACAATGGATATAGAAGTAAAGTCATGTTTATTTCTAAGGCAACGATATTCAATTAAGAAAAAAATTATAATTCACAACTTTCCTATTCCAAGATAACAATGCCGTGTAAAACAGCAGTTGATATCACGCATGTTTAAAAAAATACACACCGAAAGTGTACACTGGATCAGTTCCTGCAGATTACATATTTATGACTCAATATATAAAAAAATGGCTAGTGGTTTAAAAAATAACTATTAATAATGAAATGAGATATTACAAACTTGCAAATTAAACACATTGAATGTAATGGGATTTAAGCAGTAATGATGGGGGAAAAAAATGTAAAAAGCTTCTTATTTATGATTCCATAGGCTACATCGTCAGTTCGAAGTGCCAACTCTGGTTTAATGGTTTATTCAAACATGTAGAAATTGATTAGCAAATGAAGAATCAATGAAAATCTGAAGAATCAATCAAAAGTCTTATTTTGCTTAAGTTTACAAATTTTAAACACAAAAATCAGAAATTAAAGTATTGTTACACTCAACAGTCCAGTGTTTTGGATTTTTTTACAGTTAAAATGGTAAACATTTCTGAAATTATATTCAAAGAATATTTAAAATGTAGGACTCCTGGAGTAATAAAGAAACTTGATTATACCAAACTGCTAAATCTGCTTCTGTTTTCCTTATAACTTAACAGTAACCATTTACATGTAAAACATCATAATATGTAAAAAGCAGCATTTAAGTATAAAAATATGATCCCTAAACCTATGAGCAATTACCATAAATTATATTTATGATATCAAAAAACAATTAATTAAAATCCAGCAAAAAGACCAAATCCATTATACACCAATGAGCTCAGTTACTGTACATATGGCTTGGCAGTAAACCCAAATGTAAAAGGTGAAATACACCAGTGAGATTTAATAGTCAAAACAAAACAGTAACTAGAAACACGGCAGAAGTAATAATAATAAAATCAAAACACACAATACCATGCTCCAATTAAACCTAAGGTTATCATGTTATCTAGTTGCTTTACGATTATTCTGCAAATGAAGGGGTGAGTGAAAAGATGGGAGAGCTCAGGAAGAAACTGCTCTGGGCAGCAGGACCTGGGGGAGACAGTGTTGCCCAAGCATTAGTTCAGTTCAGGGACGATGTCATAGCAATTAGAGGTGCGGCATGGAGCACTATGCTGAGCTGCTGTCATCCTTAATCTAGACACTGATGGGCAGCCTCAAATCTAAGACACAGCCCACAGGAAGTACATGCAGTGAACCCTTATTGCTTTGACAGCAGCACCCATCCAGAAGTAATGTCAATCATTATTTAGATGTACGCACCATGACTCTGCATTAAAAAAACATATATATATATATATATGGAGCCTGGAAGGAATATCCGTTTGCAGGGAAATGGAGAAAGTATGGGCAAAATGAGAGAGAGAAACAATTTTGGCATAATATCCTCTTTTTTCTTGCTCTAAAATTCTTCATGTTTATTTCTGTTGGAGCTGCGTGTAGTTACAGAAGTAGAAGGCTTCGTATCACTGTTCTGTGCTTCCAGAGTGGCAGTAAAGAACTTGAAAATCGAGTGGAAACTTCTCCAGGAAGTTAATTCATGCCGTTCTGTACCTGCAAAGAAGCAAAGGTGGGTGAATGTGTGTGTGTATGTATATATATATATATATATATAGAGAGAGAGAGAGAGAGAATTGGAGACTGAATAGTACTGAGCAACAACAATTTGAAAATGTCAAGACAATGTGGTACAGTCAGGAGTAAAGGAGGCACAATCACAGGGTACATACATGAGTTTCATGAGGAGTTTGGGAGAAATAAACAGTTATTGTAAAACTGAACCGTGCCCTCAGTGGTATTTCTGCAGGGTGCATTTGGAGCAATTATAGTTATTTACTTGTAATATAGGTCTTACATTCTTAGGATACCACAGAAAGTTGCATACATGGTGATGACAAAGCTAGTCACGGCTCATGGGCCTAGATGGGAGTGGCGGATGAGAAATACGATCACAACACCTTTAAAAAAAGAAACGGGAATACTGAAGAATCTCACCAATTTAGCTTTAATATGACCTTCACATATAATATTTAGTGTTTTTTTACAGCCTTAATTAACTGTGACATGTCAAATAACGAAGTTTTGCGCAAACCATGGGATATTATGGCCAACCACATAAACAGAGAGAGCAAAACTGTGACAGGGTCCTCTTCCATTTTCCCCGATTTTTTTCTATATCGGTGCTATCAAATTCGGCAGCCCTGAGGAATGCAATTAAACACTAGCTTTAAGGCAGCCGCCAATGAGTGTGCTCTGATGGCTGCAGAAATGACCCTTGCTTATTAGATTGACCCCTAGCTGGCCAGTATTAATGATGACAGCCAAGGTGAAGGGAGTATGTAGAAAGGGAACACTGGGGAAGATTTGGTGACTGAATGATTACTGTTTTGGGTCAAGTTTATCAAACTACAAATCATTAAGATAATACCCTTTGCAAAAACATATCTCACTTGTGTAGAGTAAGCTGGTAGACTTTCACTCAAAATGCTCAACACACCAAAAACTTTTTATAGAATTCCCAAGCTCCTAACAGGAGACGATGTGCATTTAAACAGCATTTTCAGAGGTTAAAACATTACTTCACATTTTGATATCTGGTGTAAGTGCTACCTACACACTACAAGCTTCTTAAATGTATTTAGTGAAAAAATGCCATCCATTATTTTGACTGAATGGTTTAAAAAGAATTTCCAAAAGTAGATGTCCTTGAAAACAAATTCTAATGACTTAGACTGATATAGCTATGATATCATTAATAGAGAATGGCTGCCTTATATTAAATTTTTCACTTTTACCGTTAGCTACGAGCATTACAGATACTATTTAAAAACAGGTTTTAATTAAGAACAGAGTTGAGGATTGTGAAGATGGCTGTCAAGCTAGAGACCTATTACTCTGCTAGGTCTACAGACTGCAAGTGGTCAAGAGTAACGAACTGCTCCTCTGCTTGGTACTAGATTGCTCGCCTATAATCAGTGCACAGGCAGAATGAGCAGGAAGGCAGCACATGCTTATTTAAATGCATTAACCTGGGAGTAACGAGCCTTGCAGTCATAATTAGAAACAACTAACTACAAAATCAGTAACAACTAAATTAGGGCAGAAGTCACGGCCCTTGTTCAAATTTTTGAAACCATCAGAGCTCTTTTGTTTTGAACAATTTTTGTTATGTTTTTTTCTCCTCTAATAATTCACTGTGACGGAGGGAACAGAGGAACCCTTTTTTGAATGGAAGATTTCGCCTCCCCTGTCAAATTGACTGGATCACTTTCAAGATAATTGAGTTTGATCTCCCTGTGACTTGAACTTTGCAAGTTTTTTTTTTACTCTTATTGCTTCTTTATGATCATTATTAATGTGTGCAATGAGATATGACAGTGATCCTGTCGTAACTAAGGACCAATGCTGTTTTATCACCAAAAGTTACATTTGGTAACAAGGACTATTGTGGTAATTGTAACAAATAATATTTACAAGATAAATACTAATTCAAAGTGATGCTACCAGTAATGCTTAGGAAAAAAAAATATCTAAGCTTCTTTTTTCTTTTTGTTTCCACTTGAGGTACATTATTTAAAGTTTTGGTTTGTTTGTACTCATGACTTAATTGAACTGAACTTTGTCTAATCCACAATTACATAATTGCATTATAATTCATAATTGAAAACAATGGAACATGGAAGAAAGTGATAAAACCTGCAAGTGCTGATTAATAAATTAACACTTAATTTGTATAAATGTCTACCTACTCATCTACCAACCACATATGTTGGTCAGGATGCCAAGGAGCCAAAAAGCCATTTCATGTAGCATAGAGCTGGACGCGGACATGCACACACACACAGGCTGGAAACCCATGTCATACGAGGACAACATGCACAGGGCAGAGTTGGGATTCAAACCCCCAGCCCTGGAGATGTGAGGCGCTACCCACCCACCGTGTCCTCAAGTACCAATAAAGAAATGCCTGCAATGATTATATCCACAACACATACACATTACCATAGCCACCATTTGAGTAAATTATGTAAAGTGAAAAGAAATACTTAATCTGAAGAGAAATGTTATCATTCAGAGATTACAGATAACCAATCCTACCGTCCTACATTACAATGAGTATTAACATTTAAGGTTTTCAATTTTATTCAGAATTACACCTAATATACTATTTTTGAAAAAGGGTCATGTGGTTAGACCAAACTAGGCCAAAAGGGAAGACCTTCTAGTTTTTTGTGTATTGCAACACACACACACACAAACACACACAAACCTGGTTTAATGCCCAACACAAAAATGTTCATGCCAATTTGCACCATACTAACCTTCACATGATAATGATTACACACAATCCAGCATTCCAGCGTTTGTTCATATTTAATGAACATGTGTAAGTGGGGTCCTTTGTAGTACTGTCTTAATTACTTTACTAGTTGAAGCAAATCTCATTATGCAATGGAGAAAGATGGAAGACTAGATGTCGAGCTTATTAGGACCGGCCATGTACTGGTAAACGGAAAGGGAATACAGACTTGCCAAATTCCAAATGTATAACACAATGATTTTTTTTTATATATTAATCTAACTGTGGTGACAAAGTTTTTCAGCAACTGAAGTAAGGAAAGCTACAATCTTATGGTTATGTGATTGTGTTATAGTGTTATTTTTGTGACTCACTTTACTGCAAAGCAAATTTACCTTTGGGTACGAATAAAGTTGAACTGAACTGAACTGAACTGTCTTGTAATGAATGTTGCCCAATAATGACTTTTAATATTTTAAAATTTCACCAGTACATTTGAATTATTGGCATTTGATTAAAAAGTAAAAAAAAATTAAACTTGTGAACAAATGTCTACAGGAAGTAGCTCTTCATATGTAGCATATTTTAGTATCTGCCTATTGGCACTTGTCTGACGTAATTGGGGCACATTCTTTAATTTAAATAATTCAGTTAAACTGTAGGGACATGAAATTAATTTCTGTCACCCTGAATATTACCACAGCTCTTGAACTGTTCTGAAACCATTTTGCTCTAAAACTTTTTAAATGTTTTCAACTTGTCATTTGGTTCTATCATGTTAACTTGTGCATTTAAATAAACATGTTGCATATATGGGAATCGTAATGTCAAGTGTATTAATAAAACAAAATAAAAAGCAAATTTGCAATATCATCAGCTAAAATGATTCGAGTATCACTTCTAAAGAGAGTCATTGCCACTGTGTTAATTTCATTAGATTTGACTTGGATAACCTAACTAAAAATGTGTAATGAATATAATATTTTTATAAAGATACAATAAAGTTTAATGACAAGCCTGATAACCTTAAGCAGTTAATGCATTTTGTGTTAGAAATAGTAAGTTTTCAGACATTAAGAAAATATTTTGAAATAAAAGCTCATGAAAACACATTCTCCTCAAGAAAAAAGTGTGATACTTTCATGAAGTTTCCGGTAGTAATTACAATTACACCCATTACTAATGTCAAAACTGATTGAAATTCACATCACTGCAGCTAAGTAAGTTGTGCACTGGCAGTAAAATCGCCTTATTTTAACAAAGACTCCAGTGACTGCACCCAGGACGTTCTGCCCTGAGCCTGAGCCTCGGCACACACTTAAACAGCTGCTGGTGTTTCTGGCTGTGTGTACATGCATGTGTATGCGTCTCATCAGAGTGTCTCCAGGGCGATATGTGAAAAGGGACGCCGGGCAGAATGCTGTAAAAGACTCTATCACTGTAAACACTGTTCGGTTCCCTCCCGCTCAAGAGCCTTTGTTTGATCTGAGTTGTCATTGGTCAGGATTTAAATGGTAAACACTCGGAGCCTGCTAGCTTGCCTGACATGGTTCTGTTTTTTCTTTTTTCATTCAACGTGAACAAAGAGCTTCTGTTTTTATACTCATCCACTGTGGCTAAAAAGGAGAGATCACAAAAGCTCTCCATTAGCGGAGGCGCGCGTCTCCAATCTGAGCTGAGGCTGAACTGAAGTTTCCTGCATCCTCAAAGAAACTCAGAAGTGCTGTCGCCATGATACATTAGTACAGTATGAGCCTGGATACCCTGACTAAAGTACAGACAGGAACACACTGCAGGAACCGCTGTTACACATCCTCAGTCTCCATACTGAGGATATGTCTTCAAACATACTGATGAAGAAAACCACCTTACTGATGTCTTGGTCTGACTCCACCAATGGAATCAGACGGAACCAACAGTCAATCATCAACAACGCAATTCCCTTGTGTTTCCCCATATTCCACACTTCACCGCATCATTACCTTAATTTTAAAATGGCCTGTCTACCATTGACATGTTTTCACACCCACCTTTCCATGTTGCAACCAGGCAGGCAAAAAATAATGGAAACACCTGGCAACATCTAGGGACGGTGTCAATTTGCACATTGATTAATCATGTGCTACTCACCGGAAGAAGGTATGCAGACAGGAGTAATAAACATCTGGAAAAAAGTGCTTGGTTATGGCTTCATACTCGCACGTTACTGTAACTCTGCGGTCGCACTGTTGTATGCACGTTTGTCCGCTTGTTT